AAAAAAAAAACTATAATGTATTTATTTGAAAAGTTGTAAAAAGATCGTTTTAAAACTGCCTCTTGATCAAAAGGGTATCATTGCCCCCAAGATATAAACATGAATCAATTAATGAAGTTAAGTTCAATTATATTTCTAGATTAAAATCCTATGAACAATGTTCGATATGATGTGAAGGGGAAACATAAATGTCGACTTGAGTGATGAACTTGATAAGAGCATTTGTAAGAAATCAATACTATACTATGTTTGTTCACTAAATTTACCAATAAGAGAGCATTTTGTCAATGAGGAAAATATTTGCACTGGACGAATTTAAATTAACAATGTTGGCTTGAATAAACATTGGTGGGAATCCAATACTCAGCCACAAAGTTCGTCTATCGAGGCGAGGTATAAATTCCTAATTACTTAGATAATTGGCTATAAATAAGACAGGTTCTTCGACTTTTTTCCTTACAGATTCTTATTTTTATTATATTTATGTGATTATCGACAAATTAGTGGATCTAACAATAAACTTCAAAGGAATATCACGACTTCAATAATTTCAAATAATATAGATAATAGAGATGGATGACATGCTGTGAGTGGTCTTATTTTAAGAATTTGTGTGGTTCTAAACAAAGAATCAGATACGAATGTTGGAAGAAAATATTTATTGATCTCAAGTTGTTTAGATTGAACTTCATAACAGTTCATATCTCAACTATGGGAGCGGATGTATAAAGCACAATCTCATCAATACATCACATGCTTAAAAGTGTTACAAGTCATATAACTTAAACTAGTAAATAAGTATTGTACAGGTAACTTGACAGATGCACACGCGCATTTGTAGCACTATTGTACAGTTTATGTATAGATAGCTTTATCCTTCAAAAAAAAAAATTGTTCAGAAAAAAAGTGGAAATTATTATTATTAAGGGTTGTGTGATGTCCTACTAACTAATTTAACTACTGGTCTGCTTGTTAATGTTGGAGACAGATAAATTTTTGGCAAGAAAATTTGAAGGATTTGACTGTTCTATAAAAAGATGGCAAATGTTCCATCGAACAAGGAGGATTCCTTCCATTCATAACATTGAAATCTCCGTAACAGCCTCGTATTTTACCTAGTCCGATTTTCACTTATAAGTTTATAGAAATTAATAATTTATTATTCCTATTTATTCTTTTATTTTATTTTTCTGGCATGGTCTTCTCCTTCTTGCTCTTCTTCTTTTAACTTTGGGTTTTTTTTCCTCTAAAAAGTAGAAACTCTTGGAACAGGAAAACGAGGAAGATACCCAGATCGAGTAGTTCTATTCTGGTAAGATTTTTATTCAATTTTTTGAGTTAAATTTTTGGGTTTTTACTGAAATTTATCAAGATTTGATAATTTCTTGTTCAGTTGCTCTGTTTGACTTTTAGATTGATTTGGAAGTGACCCTTTTATATCCATCTTGAGGATTTTCCTTTTCTTGCTGGGTTACGATGGAGAAATAGTGTTAATTGAAAGATTTTCGTTTCTATATATTTGTATTTGTTTTCTTTATACTGATATTTAATTTCCTCGTGTAACATGATTCCAGATTGAATTAGCTCTGAATCTTTATATTCAAGAATTTTGTGAATGGATTCTTGATTTTGCATAAAAGATTACTCTATTGGAGATTGTGGAAGAGCCAAGTGAAGATCTTGAGGTTTTGTAATTTTTTAGTTTTGGAATAATCTGAAGATGTCTGGAGCACAAGATCAGCTTGAGATAAAGTTTAGGTTGACTGATGGATCCGATATTGGCCCGAAGAACTTCCCTGCGGCTATGAGTGTTGCAACTTTGAAGGAGAACATTATAGCTCAATGGCCTAAAGGTTAGTCCACTGCTTATGTTTTCACTATGTATGCACATATATATTGTTTTCCGGGAAAGCAAACAAATCTTATGGTTTTGATGATTGTAGCTCTTGAATTTGTTAGAAATCCCAAATAAATAGATTGGAATTTGTGATTGTTGATGACATAATTTAAATAAATTTGTCTATTTTGCAATTGCTTAAACTTTTAGACGAGATTGAACATTATATTAGGAGTGCGGAGAAAAATGAATTGGCATGTACGTGAAGGGCACGCATTGAAGACATAATTTAAATAAATGAATCCCCTCTAATATGTACCTTGAGCTTTTAGACGTGACGGTTCAATAGTGATTATGATAAAAGTTATGACAAACATAAGCACGCACTATAAAATTGTCTGCCAGTACCTACTGGTGTAGGTTGAGTGGTTCCAAAAATTGTGTTCCTCTAGCCACTTAAAGGCTGAAAGAGATGGGCATGTCTATACAAATGAGGAATTAAATGTACTTAGTTATTCAAACAGGAATAGCATTTGATCTCTACAGGACATATTGAGCCCCTGCAAAATTAAGAGCCCTCAGTAAATCCACATCACTTTTTCTCGGGTTCCTAAAGATAAACGAGGAAGAAACTTGAATCTTGGATTGACTTCTGTTTATTTGTATGGTAGATTTATGCATTTAAATTGTTGAAAGTCGATCAGTTCATAGAATCAAAGATTCGAGTCAGTAACTGCTGTCCCAAAAATTCTATACAGCTATACTTAGAAGAAGAATAAGACAGCACTTTTATTAGTTCAGAATTCCGTCTTCCCTAATTTCATGCCTCCTATTACCTCACATAATGTACCGTACAATTACGAGTCTCCACACACTGTTTGGTTTAGCTAAAAATCAGATTTTAGTATATTTTGATACAAGTTGATGAAACGTGTTGTTGAAAATTGATAAAAATCGTGAATCCCATGAAACGTGTGGTTGAAAATAAATTTGAGAAAAAATGAATTTTAGCAAACGTGGTCAAGCAAAATCTTATCCTCAATCCCTCTTTCTGGGAAAGCTATTTGCACAAAAGAAATGATAGATTTTTTTTCTGTCAAAGGTAATATCTTCGATTTAACTGTGTAGTAAATGAGTGATTTAAGTTCTGATTCACGCTTGTGCAATTTTCACGTCATCATCTTGTAAGCTTCTTCACAACATTTACACAGAAGTTTTGGTCCTATGTCAAGTTCACAGCTCTTTAAAAAATTTAGAAAATGACATGTACAATGAATAATTGACTGTGGAACTGATAGGATTGAAGCGTGTGACTGCATATGCACCCCCACCCCCCAAACAAAAAATAAACACAAAGGAGTAAAACAAGTAAATCGGACAGAGAGATTTGGCTAAATTAGTTTGTTCATAACCCAAACTCTACCTTAATGCATTCTTAAGGGTCACCTCTGCCTCGAGAATTATGATATAGTTGTTACTGTTTCTCATGTTACTATATTTTTTATTTTTTACACTGCTCGTCCTAATAGACATCTTTTGAATAGAGAAAGAAAATGGTCCACGAACAGTGAAAGACATCAAGTTAATTAGCGCAGGAAGAATATTGGAGAACAATAGAACCTTGGCGGATTGTAGGAGTCCATTATGTGATATTCCTGGCGGAGTCATGATCATGCATGTTGTCATCCAACAACCATTGATGGAGAAAGGTCTGATTTCCCTTGTTGATAATCCTTTGCAAAAAATGAGATTAAAGTGTCACTACATTAACTTGTTGCCAATTTGAAGAATGTTTGGCTAAGCTTAAAAAGTTACTTATAGTAATTTTGAAATTAAATAGCTTGGTTTATTGGTCTAGTTAGAAATAAGATACTTATTTTAATAAGTTAAGAGTTACTCTCAAAATAAGTAACAATTTCAGAAGAAAGTAACACATCTCTTTCTTCATGAAACAGAGAAGAAATTGCCAAGTGACCCGAAGCAGAATAAATGTGTTTGCGCTATATTATGAGATGCTATTCCAGAAGGCACAACCATTTCTTGTGGTTAGTAGGTAGCTCCATTTACTCGTGCTTATGAAGGTAATTTTTTTTTTAAACTTTCCTTTTCTTTGTTGTTGTGCAGATGAAGATCTATCAAGATGGTGTACTCACTGGGATTGATTTATGCAAAGAAAGTCACGAAATTTGTAGTCATAAGTGGTTGTTTCTTGGTCGAAGTCCACGTCCATATAGTGGTCGGTTTCAAATCCATATAGCATACTTCTTTTTTCTTGTTCAGTTGAATTTTCTTGTTCCAATCTTAGCCTTCTTTTTCATTGAAGAATTCTGTATTGGAACGAATCATTCAATAGTAGCAGAATCAAAGTTATTTCCTATTCATATGTGATGACTGAACTAAATGAAAATACTTTTTTCTTATTAGTTACTAGTGTGATTAGTTGAGCATAGATCCTATACTTCATTTTTTTATTATTATTATTCCTTGAAATTTGATTTTCATGTTCTTGGTTGTGGTTTATTTTGAGATATTTTATCGTGTTTCAGGAAAATTGATATCTTCATAGAAGATTTAGAGCTTGTTTGGGAGGAATTAAAATTGAAAATATAATCGTTATTGGGTCCCACCTGTCTAACAAAAGTCAACAATAACGGCTAGTTTTTCAATTTCAATCTGATTTTAATCTCTACCAAACAAGCTCTTAATATAAGGCAGGTTTGTTATACAATATTTGATAGTATTGATAATATTAGGGGAAAAAAAGTTGAAATCTTGTTCATTGTATTATCAAAATTGTATTGAATATGGCCTTAGGTCCTCTACAAAGATGTCATTAGATCTGGATCTAGTCGTTCGACTCTAAAGAGAACTAAATCGAACCGAACCGAATCGAAATTTGCGGATATTTAGTAAGTGGAACCGACATGTCCAAATTTAATTATGGAACCGTTCGGATTCGCTTTCATTCAGTTCGATTCTATTTGGTTACCGGGTTCCGTACAATGATTATTTTTTTTATATTTACAATAACTCTACATTAATTCGACTATAACATATTCAATCTTAACTCTTACAAAATAATGTGGTACAATTTAGTGATATGTTTTACACATTTCTTTGTTAAGTTCTTCGTAGATATGACTGTTAAAATCATAAGAAGAGGAAGATAGCAAATTCACAATAATAGACTGACAAAAAAATCCTAGGTAGAAAAAGAGATTTTGGTAAGATTTAGGTCAATTTGATTAAGTTGGACTTGGTTGAAAATTGAAAATAGTAA